AATCAGTGAATCAGAGTACTCTACTTAATGGGGGCTGGCAAAACAGGGGATGGAGAGTTCACAATCTCAGGGAATCCCCTTTACCTTCGGGGAGATATTTCTTCCTACAGAAGAGGCTCCCAGACGCAAGCATCGACAGGCCACAATCCTGACTTTGCAGAAACATGGTCTCCCTTTTTTTTTTGAGTCGGAGTCCCACTCTATCACTCAGACTGGAGGGCAGTGGCACACTTCTGGCCACCGCAGCCTTGACTGGCTGGGCTCCAGTGGTCCTTCCACCTCAGTCTTCCAAGTAGCGGGAAATACAGGCATGCACTACCACACCCGGCTAATTTTTTATTTTATTGTAGAGATGAGGTCTCACCAAGTTGCCCGGGTGGGTCTCAAACCCACGAGCTCAGGCAATCCACTCACCTTGGCCTCCCAAAGTGCTGGGATTACAGACTGAGCTACCGAGCTTGGCCAGAAACATGGTCTCCTAGTACTGAACACAGCCTACCTAAGGTGATATTGGTATAAATACTTTTTTTTTTTTTTGAGTTGGAGTCTCACTCTGTCCCCCAGGCTAGAGTGCAGTGGCACACTCATAGCCACTGTAGCCTCTACCTGCTGGGCTCAGGCGATCCTTCTGTCTCAGCCTTCTAATTAGCTGGAACCACAGACATGCACTACCATGCCTGGCTAATTTTTTTTTATTTATTGTAGAGATGAGGTCTCACCAAGTTGCCCAGGCGGGTCACGAACCTGCGGGCTCAGGCAATCCAGGTATAAATACTTATTAGGATGGGCTAGGTTATGCTGCATGGACAAACTTCCCCCAGACCCAATAGCTTAGTACAGCAAAGCCTATGTCCACACATAGCCTATTTAGGCTGGCAGGAGTGGCTCTGCACACTGTGGTACACACAGATCCAGGCTGATGGAGGGTCCATCTTGACACCTACTTCCACACTCTCTGAAACAGGGAAAGGGGACATTAGGACTTGCCTGGTAGCTCTTAAAAAGGTCTGCTTAGTAAGATGAGTCATTTCTGGTCTCAGCTGGAGAGCAGCCACATGGCCACATCTAAATTCAAGGGAGGAGGAGAAATGTAAACCCACTATATGCCCAGAAATGAGGAATGTCTGTGAATAACCCTAAAAGACTAGACGGTGTGGTTGTTGTGGGACTGACGGGGGCCCCTAGGAGGCAGGGGCACAGAGACTCCTCTTCACTCCTTCAATAAGGAACAGCAGCACCCCCCTTGGCTCAGAACCAAGCCCTTCAACTCTGGGAGAGTCAGACTGAGGTCAACAGAGTGAAAATGTTGAAGGTTCAGGGCAGGTGCTACAGAAAAGTCACCCAGGGCTTGTCCAGGCATGGAAAATGCCCACTAAGGGCGTTATGCATGATAATCTGCTTCCGGAATTCTCATGGCCTTTGGGGTGAGTCTTCCTAGGCCCATAAACTCAGAAGATCAGAGTTAGGCGGATCCCTGAAGCCTGGCTGCTCAAGTGTGGTCCCAGGACCGGCAGCCTCCACACCACCTTCCCCTGGGAGCTTGTGAGAGCTGGTCAATCTCTGGCCCCACCCCAAACTACTGAACTAGAACCTGCATTTTTAACAAGATCCCCAGGAGATTCACATGCACATTAAAGCTTGAGAATCACTTCCCCAGAACTAATTTAGGCCAACATCTTCATTCCACAAATGAGGAGCTGACACCCAGAGCGGAGGAGGCAGGCCCAAAGTCACACAGGTGGTTCCAATCCTGGCTCCACCCCTTGCCAGGGACTTTAAGTAAGTCATTTAAAAATTCACTGAATTTCAGTCTCCTCTTCTATGAGAAAAGGGTAGTATAATACCTCCTAGTTCTTACATGGGGATAAAATAAGACAACATCTAGACCCATGCCAGGCATACAGGATGTGCTCAGTGTTAACTATTGCTATAGTCCTAACTCACTGTTCTAGCACCACTCCCCATATTCCTTGTACGTAGCAGTTTTGTCTTAAGATGAGAGTGTCAAGTATACCGGTGCAAGGATGAGACCTGGACCCAACTGCCTGTGTTTATATCCTGCTCTGCCATTTGACCTTGAGCCAGTTCCTAAATTGTGTTTTGGTTCTTGGCTTCAGTTTAATCATTTGTAAATGGGTATAATGATAGCACCTACCTCATAGGGCTATTGTGAGGATTAAATGAGTTAATGCATTTAAGGTCTTCAAATAGTCAATGGCACGTAGCAAGCATGCAAGATGAAGGAATGATATTCCCAAAATGTCTAAAAGAAGAAGCTTAGGATGGAAGGACATGTGCCCCAGATAGGGGAAGGGTCTTTCTTAGGGGAAGCTGCTTCTGCTTTGCCCCTTTGACCTATTGCAAGCCCCCAGTCTCTCTGGCCCCTGGAGAGCTCTCACACCTTGGCTATGTTTTTCCTCAACTGATGACATGGACTCAGGGGGCTTTCTTGGTGCCACCAACAGGAAGCAAAGGCCAGGGGATCTTTGTGCTGGGAGGATCAGACTCCCCCCAGAGGAGCAGCCGGCAGCTGTCTTCAAATCTCTGAAGCGCTGTCACGCAGGAGAGGGATTAGACCTGTTCTGGATGACTCTAGGGGACAGAAATAGGAAGTTCCAGGAAGTCCTCTCCAATCATCAGAACTGTTCAGAGGCTGCCCCAGCTGGCGGGCGGGGCGCTGAGCTCGCGGCAGCTAGGCGGTGGCTGCATCAGGCGGATAAGCAGGGGTGGAGGTGGGCACCGGCTGGGAGGCTGGGCCAGGTTCTCAAGCCTGGCTGAGCTCGAACGTCAGAATCACCTGAGGAAGTTTTCAAATACAGATTCCCAGGCCCCACCCAGGCAAAACGAATCAGACTCTCTAGAGGTGGGGCTGGGAATCCATTTTTAAAGGCTTCCTCAATAATTCTCATATTAAGGGGTGGGTTTGGAGGCGGGGCCAGGGCTGAAGCTGAGGTGGAGAGAGGCAGGGGGCGGGGTCGGAGTCATCCAGTATATGATCTTTGCGTTCCTTACTCTTGTCTAACCCCCATCACCCTCACCTGCTCTGGGTCTGAGGATGGTGGCTCTCTGGGTTTCCAACCTTCTCAGAGAACGTCGGTGTCCTTAATTCAGGGATCACGCCCACACCTAATGTGAGTTTTAACAATCTCTCTCCCACCCCAGGATCTCTGTCCTCACCCCTCCAGTCTGCTCCCGCTGGTCTCCGGGTCCCTCCCCAAACCCTCAGGTGACTCAAACAGGTTGCCAAGGAAGGGTCTTGGAGGAGGGCCGTCCGAGGGGGCTGGGTCTGCCTCCCATCAAGAGCGGGGGCTCTTTCCCATCACACCCTAAAGCACAGGGCACAGCCACTCCTGCAACCGGGCATTGCTCCCACCAAATGCATCCTCCCGAGAGTGCCCTAGACGCCTTGCTTAGAGATCACAGAAACCAGAAAAGAAATGCCTGAATGGACATAAAGATCTCTGCTCGCCCTCTTCCTTTGGGTCAAATCCACTGTTGGGTGTACCACAGAGCCCTGGTGCGCACAAATCCTCCAGGGAAGAAGCTGTCACCGGCGCGCAGAAGCAAAGGGTCCTCAAGGCCCACTGGGAAAGGAGGGGTGCGTGGGATGTGCGGAAAGGGACGCCTGCTCTTTGCCCCGACTCCACAGCGCCACCTGGTGTATCTTGGCACAGCGCAAGCGCCGCATTTGCAAGTACTGGGCCCCCTCTCTGTCTGCGGACCCTTCTGTCCCCAGTTCACCCCTCGCCTCAGGATGCCTCTTCCTCCTTGCCGCGGCCTTCCGCTCTGTCCTCCACTATCCAGAGGGTACTTCCTGGTCTGGCCCCATCTGGTTTACAGCCTTCTTCCTGGATCCGGGTCTCATTCCCAGGAGGTGCATCCCTCGGCCCCTTCTTCATGTTGAGGTTGCCCTGAAAGACTGATGGCCCCGGAACTGGACAACCAGTGTAATAGAGGGTAAGAGGATAGGACACCGAGAGGTCCGCCAGAGCAGCCTGCAGAGGGCAGCCTATCTCAAGCTTTGGGCCCCAAAGGCTCCCAACCTGGCCCTCCCAGAATAGGACGAGGATCCGCCTGTGTTTGTAGACCACACATCCACTCTCCTGCCTGCACAAACTTTTCCCAGCACCTTCCGTGGGTCGTGCCCTGTGCTGAAGCTAGAGCACACTTGGGGAACTCCCAACCAGTGCCCAACCCAGACTGGCATTGTCCTCTGAACTCCTTCGGCATTTCTCCCTGCCACCTTTCCCTTCCTATTGCTCTACACTGTTGATAGTCTAATACATACAAAGGCCCCATTCTCAGAGTCAAGGAGGAGGGTCTGTCAAGGCCACTCTTGGATCTGGTCATCTGAATAATATACACACGAGGCCTTGTTATTAAAGTATCTACTTATTGTTGTTTGAAAATTCAAAGTGTGGGCACATTTTCAAGGGCTAAAGCAGAGAAGCCCAGTCCCAAGGCATCAGACAGTTATCTCTAAGACGAAGGACACTGCAACTCCTCAGGTGAGCCTCTCCAAAAAATGTGGCCGTCCACAGACTTGGCTGTGGGGGCCCTAACAGTGCAGCAGGCTGAGCAAGACCTTTCCACCCCACCCCTCCTAGGCAGAAGTGAGCTTTCCAGATTTGATATGAAAGTTCCCCTGGCTGAGTTTCCCTCTCACTTCGGGGCTTTCCAGGCTGGGAGACGTTCTGAGCACGATTTGGGGGCCTAGCTGAGTCCTTCAAAGCCAAAAGTCCATGCAGTTCCCACGCCCAGATGTGGCAATGGAGGCCAGACAGGACAAGGCAGTGGTATTTGCTTGTCAGGTCATGTCAGACAGTGGGGTTCAGTTAGAACTGATACCGAAAAGCGATTGGTTCTTTAAAAAAGCAGTAACAAATCCACTTTGATTCATTTCCACCAGACCGCCTGCTAATTTGATCTCTCCAATCAAGTTTCCCCCCAGCCCCAAGGGAGTGACAGGGCTCCATAGACACAGGATCGGGACATCAGAATTCCAGTCTAAATAGCTTTATTGACCAGATGAGAAATCAGCTTGAATACAGCCCGTGCCTGCAGCGCTTTCAGTGGACAGCTCCAGATAGTGTCGTCCTTTCGATGGATGGGAGCCGTGAGGCCCGGCCCCTCCCCCTTCTGCCTGCCGCTCTGACCTGGGGCCTGGAAAGGACAGAATGCTGTGTGGCCAAAGAAGGGTCCCTTAGAAGGGTGGAGTGGAAGGGGGGCCTTGGGTTGGAGGGAAGGTCCCAAGGACTGGGGGCAGCGGAAAGGGGTGTCCGGAGGAAGACTGAGGCTGGGTCAGCTTCCCTCCACGTCCAAGGACCAAGCAGGCATGGCGAAGACAGAGCCCTAGCCTGGGCTCTGCTGACCACAGCTTCAGGACCCAGGGTTAGGGCCAGAGCTGACCACCCAAAGACTTGGGCCACTGATAAATGCTACTGTGTGTTTCATTAGGATGCCTCCATCAAGCAGGGAACTGGCTATCTGATGAGGTCAGACAACACCCTGACTGTGGGGTCTTTCGCCCTGGGTTGTTCTCCACTTCAAGTTCTACAAAGGCCCAAGGCCAGAGGCCTAGAGAAACAGGGTTTCTATGACCCTACCCTCAGGCCTCTCTGCCTCCCATCGTGATTCCCCAACCTGGAACTCCCTAGGCTTATTCTGAGGTACACCAAGAAGCCCACACTCTCCCGACCCTGCTTCTCTACCCTCCAGCCTGTTGCTGCTGCTCCTCTGGGCTCCAAGGTGTGGGCTCAGGTGTCTTGGCCAGTTGACGATGGACACTCAGCCCAAGAGGCTAAGAACAGATGTCTGAGGGGTGAAGTATGAGGGCCCTGGTCTCACCCAAACTAAAATCACTGAAGTCTCCTACTGGCGATGGTGTCAGATGCCAGGCAGAAGGTGCTCCTTAGGGGGTGGAACCTCAGGCAGATCCCCAAACCAAAGGGAGCCAGAGGCCCAAGTTCAAGTTATTAGTGATGTGTGGCAGGACTGAGAGAGAAAGGATCCTGGAGGTCTCCAAGGTTGCTGGGAGAGAATGGCGATGAGAAGCGCAGGAGTGGCGAGGGTGTGGTGAGTAGTGACAGCCTCACTCAGAGTGGACCAAGGCCCCAGCTCCTTGCCCGAAGCCAAAGCCCTTGGGCCCGAAGTTTTTAGCATAGCATCCTACAGCGAGAGGAGAGAAGAAAGGGAGTTCTTGTCACCCCCAGCCACACTGCCCACCCTCCCGCCGAAGGTACTCCACCCCTAGCGCCCAGCCAGAACTCGAGAAGGGATGGCCCCAGTGCCCCCTCACTTCCACAGCACCCCTACTCTCAACAGCGAGGAGGCTCTTGGCTCCACACTACCCATTTCCCCTGTCAACGAAATTAGAGACACATCATCTGCTATGAAAGCACCGGACTGGGAGATAGGAAGCAAGGTTCTAGCTCTATGCCTGACCCAATTTGCCAGCTTATTCTGGCCAAGTCTCTTTCTCTTCTGGGCTTGTTTCCTCATTTGTAAAATGAAAGAGTCATGCTAGAAGTTCTTGCTCTTGGATGCCAAGGCCAGGAATGGGTTTACATTCAGCAAAGGCATAACTTCTTAACTTCCCTGTCCCCTCAGGCCTCTTGCTCCTCAGTTAGAAGTGAAACCACTCACCTTTGCAGTAAATCTCACCATCCTTGTCTGCCAGGGTAGTTGACTCAAGGCCTTTGCCACATTTGGCACACCGGAAGCAGGACTTATGCCAGGACTAGAAAGGGAAGGAAACAGTTAATGCTGCCACCCGTGGTCAGGGTGCCCTCCACTCCCCCAGCCCACTCCCCTTGACATAACCATGGAAGAAGAGCTCAAGATACTTCTGAAGACTGCCCAGCTTATGCAGCCAGGAGGTCACAGCCTGTGGTGCTGGCAGTGGAGGGAGCAGGCCAGGGACCACACGCCACCTTGTACCATTTTCAGCCAAGTGTTGCAATAGCTCGATGGTTAGTGGCACCAGCTATCCCCCAAAAGCTAGGTGAGAAGGTGGGGTTACCAGCAAGGTAGCTGTTGTCCCACAGGCTCAAACAGATGAGTCTTCTCCAGATTTCTCCTGCCTGTAGATTAGGGGGGTGAGCGAGGGCTTTGCACTTGTCTGGTGCTGCCACTTACTAGCTGAATTGCCCTCATCTGGGAGACCTCCCTGCCAACCTGGTAGAATGAATGGGACTAGATATTTACACCTATGATGCCTGGCCACAGAAAAGGCATTTGTCATTGAGATTCTCCTGGACTAGCCCAGACTCTGATGTCCAGGAATTAGGTGCCTTCTTTGCCCGAAGTCTATCACCTCTCAGAGAATGGAATGGCAGCCTCTCCCTTACTAGGGAGCTATGAGCATTAAATGACTTTATCAGTGTAAAGTGCCTGGTATGAGGCCTGGCACAGAGGAGACCCTGAGACACTGTTGTCCAGTTTTACTTTAGGAGGAGACTGGGTCTATGAAATGCACTGAATTCAGCAGGAAAAGGCCCGAGGACTGTAGCTTCTCCAGGGACCACAGAAGACCCTTTGTGGTTTTAAGAGGGGCCCCAAGGCAGCACAGGGCAAACAGCCTCCCAGGGAAAAGGGGACCCAGGATTGTGCATGATGATGGGACCTTGTACAGACTTCTCGACAGCCAGCTGCTGTTAGCAACAGCTGAGCAGACTAAAAGGCTGATGTGTAGACAGCTCTGCTAAGACCAGGAAAAGCAAGAGACAGGCACAGTTGGACAGGACAAAACAAAGCCTTTTAAGGGCAAAGAGAATCCCTCAGCACAGCCCACCCAGTGCCCAGGCTGGAGGATGAGAAATGAAACTGATTCCCTTAGACTTCCTCGCCATCTGACCTCACACACTGGCTCCTCCTCCTGTGTCCAAGGGACAGTGGTGGAATCCAGAGAACTGAGATGAGGAGACCTGGGCCTCAGTCCTCCCCTCAGTGCTGGTGCAGCCTCAACAGTCACCCAGCCTTTGCTGCCTCCTCTGTAAAGCAGGGACTGCTACCCCAAGCTCTCCAGGCTGGAGAAGGACTGAATCACAGCCAGATCACCACCTATCCTCACATTTCCTAGCCATCCTCCCCCCGCAAATGAAGCTCAATCACTTTGTTCATTCATACAGCACCTAAAAGTACTCCCAGCTCCTCAATATTTATTGACCTAGGCAATTGAGAGGTGGGGTCTTCTCCCTACCTTTTCCACTTGAATGCAAAATTCTCTTATCCTATTCCCCCGCCCCACCTTTCTTAAAGATGGGGTTTTGCTGCTCTTTCATCCAGTCTAGAATGCAGTGATACAATCATGGCTTACTGCAGTTTTGACCTCCTAGGCTCAAGCTAGCCTTTCACCTCAGTCTTCTGAGTAGCTGGGACTGCAGGTGTGTACCACTACGTCAGACTAATTTTATTTTTGTAGAGACAGAGTTGCGCTGTGTTGCCCAGGCTGGTTTCAAACTCCTCGACTCAAGGGATCCTCCCATCTAGTGTCCCAAAGTGCTAGGATTATAGGCATGAGCCACCACACCCAGCCCCTTATTCTACGCCTTAGTACAGTATTAACTTTACCTTATACCCTAAGTGATGCAAGTAGTGACCCTTAAGTTGCTTTTTAGAAAAATAATTTTCTATTCTTATGGTAAGACAGAGCAAAAAAAACCCCAAAATAACAAAATGTTTTCATATCATTTATTCAATGGCAAAGATCTTTCTTCTGACCTCACAACAATCCTCCAAAATAAACAATAATAATAAGTGACTGACTGTATTGGGCACATACCAGGCAATATTGTGGACCATCCAGGTCCACTTCACTGATGCAGAACTGAGGCTCAGGAAGGCTAAATTTGTCCAAGGTCATATAAGTGCAAATGGTAAAACTAGGATTCAAATCAGGTTGTCTAGGGTCCAAGCTATTTTTTTTTTTTTTCTTTTTTGAGTCAGAGTCTCACTCTGTCGCCCAGGCTGGAGTGCAGTGGCACACTCATGGCCACTGCAGATTTGACCTGCTGGGCTCAGGTGATCCTTCTGCCTTAGTCTTCCAAGTAGCTGGAATCACAGGCATGTGGCACCATGTCCAGCTAATTTTTTGATTTATTGAAGAGATGAGGTCTCACCAAGTTGCCCAGGATGGTCTCAAACCCATGGGCTCAGGCAATCCTTTCACCTCAGTCTCTCAAAGTGCGGGGATTATAGGCGTGAACCAACCCATCCAGGTCCAAGCTCTTAATCACCACGCTAGGATTAACAATCCCTTATCATTTTGAGACTTGGAAATGGGTTCAAAGGGGTTGAATGTTTAGACACTCTTACTAACAGTCCTAAGAGCAGTAAGAGCAAGGACTTCAGAGTCAGACAAATCCCTGGACTTGATCCTGTCTTAGCTCCTTCCTAGCTAGCAGATCTGGGCAAATTATTTGATCCTTCTGATTTGAGTGGTTTTTATTTTCTTTTTGTTTTGAGTTGGGGTCTCACTCTGTTGCCCAGGCTAGAGTGCAGAGGCATGATCAGGGCTCACAGAAGCCTTGACCTCCTGGGCTCAAGTGATCCTTCCGCCTCAGCCTCCCGAGTAGCTGGGACTACGGGTACATGCCACCACGTCAGGCTAATTTTTGGATTTTTTTGTAAAGATGAGGTCTTGCTATGTTACCTAGGTTGGTCTTAAACCCCTGAGCTCTAGCAATCTTCCCGCCTCAGCCTCCCAACGTGCTGGGATTATAGGCATGAGTCACCACACTGGCTTATTTTTTTCTTTTTTTAATCTGTAAAATGGGGATAATGATACCCATCTCCAACCACGATTGTGAGAGGTGAGAGCCTGCTATGGCCTAGACTTGGCCTAAGTGTTAGTTTCTGAAAGGGTGAAATGTCAAAATGGAAAATTTAATGAAATAATCTTAGTCAAAGAGCAGCTAATTTTATTTTTTAATGAATTAAGAAAGGTAGATTTATTAAAGGAAATATATATTATGAAGGATACAATAGGCAGGACATCAAGAGTGTCTGCTGCCCAAGAGCAGCTATTTTAACATTGCTTAGCTTTGTCACGTTTTTCTAACAGTTCACTTTAATTTACCCTCTAGTCATTAGCCAAGGACAGAACCGTTTCCCCAGAGATAGCTATTGATAATTTACAAACCCCTTCCCCAAGTCTGCTTTGTATTGTTTTCTATTCCAAGTCTGTCTTTTAGCCATAAAGAACCAGAATGGGCTGGGCTCGGTGGCTCAGCCTGTAATCCTATGCTTTGGGAGGCCAAGGTGAGTGAATTGCCTGAGTC